GTGTCCCACCATGGGATGAGTGTCTTGTACCATGTTCTGGAGGCTGTCTGCAAAATCTGTTTCCATTCCTACTGTAGAGGTGGTACAGCCAGGCCCCTGAAACACCGGGGTGTAGATCACTTGGTACTTGACCAGAGCTCTAAGGATCTGCTGTACTTCTGTAGACTCCCATGGCCATCCTTGCCCAGGATGGTCTCCGTCATCTGACGAGGCTGCCCTGCAGGGCAGAATGAATCAATCTACAAGGGAGTTGGTGTGATGACTTACTCAGGCACTGTGTAGCTGCTCATGATGCGCAGTGATGCTCCTCCTCTGCTTCCTGCCAGGTTATAGAATTGCCCTCTCCCGGAGTCCCACAGCTGCATGAGCCAGGCAGGAACACTCTGTTTTTTTGCTGAAACTTGGCACAACCCTGGCTTAGCCACAAGTGCTTAGACCTTAGACTGTGTGAGCCTGCATTCTCCTAGTTTGACAAAGTGACAAGCCAAGGTTTCCAGCTATTGCCTTGCCCTTCACCTATTATCAGCCAGTCCCGATGCTAACAGAGTTGTGGACAGCCTGACATCCTTTTTCTAGTTTCACTTCTTCCCCTAGTTTTCTACCCTTCTACCTCCAACTAGGTGTCAATGGCCAGCTACACCACCCATAAGAGAGGCCAGCCCACAACTGTGGCCCTGCGTGCCCCTTCCTTGCTGGTGTATAATGAGTACTTCTTTAAACACATAAGGCCAGCTGACATCTTCAGGGCATCCCTGTATTCATGTGGTTTCTAGCATATATACCTCCCCTCCCCACATGGGAGTTGATGGCCAGCCTGGGATTTCCTGCAGGGATGCCTCTTTCCCAAACTCTATTTCTTCAGTGTTCTGGCTAGCTCACCAATTGTCAGTACATGCAGACCCAGGGAAAAGCCCTGAGACTGGAAATCTACCTCCATACGTGGAGGACAGGTTAAGACCCAAGAAATAGGGTGCCACTCCAGTCTGGTAATTAATAGAGTTTATGCCCGGCCGGGAGTGGCTCAGCGGTTGAGCATCGACCTAGGATCCAGGAGATCGGGGTTTGATTCCCGGTCAGGGCACATGCCCGGGTTGCGGGCTAGGCAGCCGATCAATGACTGTCTCATCATTGATGTTTCTATCTCTCTCTATCCCCCTCCTTTCCTCTCTCTGAAATCAATAAAGATATGTTTTTTAAAAAAAAAGTTTATTAAGGGAACTTGCATGTGAGGTGTGTCTTGGGCAGTGGCAAGATGATGTGGATTTCTTCTGCACTATGTGGCAGGTACTAAGTGGTTATATAGGACAGGGAGGATGGGTGGAGTACCTGGGACATGACCTCTCCCAGATAAGGGAAAAATGCCTTACATCCTTGCCAGCGCAGGGCGAGGGCCTGTCCCAGGAACCAGCACATCTGGGACACAAATGCATAAGGCCAGCTGGCATCTTCTGGGCATTCCCATACTCACACAGCATCTAACTTACAGGCCACTCCTCAGCACATGGGGATCAGACAGTCTCTGTGGGGGTTTATGGGAAGCAGTTTCTATTCAGCTCTGATCTAACTGGATGTACTCAAGGGTCATGGAACAGCCCCTCCATAATTCATAGTATAATTTGATATCAGAGAGCATGATACCTTGTACTTTGTTGTTTTTCAAAATTTCTTTGGCTATTTGGGGGTGTTTTGTGGTTTCACATAAATTTTAGGATAAGTTCTAATTCTTAGAAGAATGGCATTGGTTGTTTTTTTTAAACCAAACTTGATTTATTTTTAAAAGATATGTTTTTATTCATTTCAGAGAGTGATGGAAACATTAATGATGAGAGAGAATCATCAGTTGGCTGCCTCCTGCACATCCACTACTGGGAATCAAGCCCGCAGCCTGGGCATGTGCCCTGACCAGGAATTGAACTGGCCACCTCCTGGTGCATGAGTCTATGCTCAACCACTAAGCCACACCAGCTGGGCCATAGTATTCTTTAATGATTCTTTGTATTTCTGTGGTGTCAGTTGAAACTTCTTCAGTTATGATTTTATTTATTTGGACTCTGATCTTAACTATTTCCCTCCTGTTTACTTTGTTGTTTTTTAAAGATATATTTTTATTAATTTCAGAGAGAGGAAGGGAGAGGGAGAGAGAAAGATAGGAACATCAATTATGAGAGTCATTGGTTAGCTGCCTCCTGCATGGCCTCCGGCTGGGGATCGAGCCTGCAACTCAGGTATGTGCCCCTCACCAAAAATTGAACTTGAGACGCTTTGGTGTGCGGGCCGATGCTCTAACCACTTCACCATACTGGCCAGGGCTTTAGGTTGTTTCTATAGTTCTCCTCTGCTGTTTTCTAATGATTTTTTCCCTTGTGGTTTGCTGTTTTTCTTTAGTGTTTTATTTGGGTTCCTTTCTCTTTATTCTTTGTATACTTTTGTAGGTTTTGGTTTGTGGTTACCATGAAGTTTATACATATCATTCTATATCTGTAGTAGTCTATTTTAAGCTGATAGGCATTTAAGTTTGAATATATTCTATAAGGACATTTTTACCCTCCCACACACACTTTTTTTTTTTAAATAGACTTTATTTTATTTATTTTTTAATATGTTTTTATTGATTTTTAGAGAGACACACATACACTTTATGTTTTTGATATTGTGTTGTAGATATACTTGTGTATCTGACTACATATTGTAGTTTGAGTTTGATATATTTTTTTAACTTGTAGTAGCTTTTTAAAGGCTTGATTTGCTGTATTTATTAAATGTTTGATTCTATCTGTGAGATTTTTTTCCTTTCTCATTTCTCGTTATGACCTTTCTTCTCTGCCTAAAGAAGACCCTTTAACATGTTTTGTAAAACTGATTTAAGGGTGATGATTGCCTTTAGTTATCTCTCCCTCAATTCTGAAACATAACTTTGCTGGATAAATTATTCTAGGTTGTAGGCTTCTTTCTCTCAGCACTTTAAGAATGTCCTGCCAGTCTGTTCTGTCCTGTAACATTGCTGCTGAGAAATCAGCTGAAAGCCTTATGGAGTTTCCTTTATATGTAACTCATCGTTTTCCTATTACTTCCTTCAAGATTGTCTGTCTTTAACTTTTGCCATTTTAACTACAGTATGTCCTGGTATGGGTCTCTTTGGGTTCATCTTGTTCAGAACTCTGCTTCCTGGACTTGGATGTCTGTTTCCTTTCCCAGGTTAGGAAGGTTTTCAGCCATTATTTCTTTAAGTTCCTGTTCCTTCCTTTCTTCTTCTGGGGTCTCTATAATGTGAATGAGTGCTTGGTGTTATCCCAGAATTCCCTTAAACTATTCTCTTTGTTTTATATACTTTTTTCTTTCTGCTGTTCTGATTGGTTGATTTCCACTAGTTTGTTTTTCTGTGTTAGCTAGTCTGCTATTGATTCCTTCTGTGTTTTCATTTCAGCATTATATTCTTCAGGTTTACTTGGCTCTTTCTTATACTTTGTAACTCTTTGTTGAAGTTCTCCCTAAGATCCTCTATTCCATTCAAGTTTGGTTAGCATCTTTATGACCATTTCTTTAAATTTTTAATCAAATTACTTATCTCCATTTCTTTAGGGTTTCTTTTTATCCTGAAAACTTTTTGTGTTTTTCCATTTGAGAAATATTCTGTCTTTTTATTTTTTAAAGATTATTATTATTTTATTATTTATTGATTTGAGAGAGAGAGAGGAAGAGAAACATCAGTTTGTTGTTTCACTTATTTATGCATCCATTGGTTGCTTCTTTTATGTGCCCTGACCAGAGATTGAACCCGCAACCTTGACACAGTGGGACTGTGCTCTAACCAACTGAGCTATGTGGCCAGGGCTTATCTTTTCATTTTGTTTGACTTCCATATTTGTTTATATGAATTAGAGAGAAAATAGCTCTCCCAGTGGCCTGATGAAAAAGTGGCCTGATATAGAAGCAGACTCTGTATAGGCTGTGTATACTGGGTGGTGTTGGGAAGTCAATAGGCATCCAGGGTCAGTGGCCTACCGAGCGACAGCGTCCTTAGGTTGGGAGGCCAGGTGGATGTAGTGATGTCCTACTTTCCCTTTGCTCCAAGGCAGAAGGCTCTGGGGAGTGTAGCTGGGAACCACTGTGGTACCCTCCATGGCCCTGTGGAGGTGGAGGGGACATGTACAATGATGCTGAAGGCTCCTCAGCCCAGAGGGCTCCTGTGGCCCCCAGGCTTCTCTGTTCATCTCTTTCTCATGTTTGTTGTCAGAAGCTGTTCATTCAGTCCTCAGTTGTCTCACAGGAATAACTGTTGTCTGTGCACGGGTATATTTGAGTTTGGAATGGGAGGGGGCAAGTTCCGCACTGACCCGTCTCAGACCCCCTATGGAAATGTTTTTTTCTACATCAGCCAGTGTAGCTACTGAGCACTTGAAGAACTAAATATTTAAGTGAAATTTAAACTAAATGACTGTGTGTGGCTCATGGCTGTGGAATTGGGCAGCCAGTTACAGGTACAGTACAGCCACGCTCAGAGGGAAGGCAATAGCTGTCTCCAACTGGTAATACAACTTTCATGCTGGGAAACGGGAAAGGAAGCAAATGAAACCCAAAGCAGGTGTTCAGGGGAAAATACAAAGACCATGACAGAAAAGAGACATACCTGAAAACCAGCATACCTGAAAGTGGGTCCTCTGAAAGGGTAGTAGAACTTGAGGAACTTCTTGCAGCTCGGTGACTTGGAAAAGGGTCCCTTTTCAGCTGCCCTGAAATTGTGCATGTTCACATCCACAGAACCAAAAAGTATTAATCCCCCTCCCCCCACTACCTAAGCTTCCTTTGTGACCCAGCCATGATTTTACTACTATGCTAGCATTTCTTTTGCACACAGAAACATCAGATGGGCCATCTGTTTGCTGAGTTCACCACTCCCGACTAGTGGCCCTTTCCAGCCTGATCCTGTGACTTGCAGAGAGGGGTCTCTGGGGGTGGCAGGCTGGGCCACTTCAGACCTTATCCTGCCTTGGTCTCCTCAGGGCTCCTTCAAAGAGCTGGTTTATGTGTTCTTCATGATGAAAGATGCCGGCCTCGCCCCAGACCTGCTGTCGTATGCGGCTGCCCTGCAGTGCATGGGGCGGCTGAACCAGGATGCCAGCACTATCCAAAGGTAGATGGATGTTGGGGTGGTCCTGCCAGGAACACAGCGACTTGTTGGGCCTGGAAGGGTGGCTTGGCCTGCTTTGGGAGCCAGGACTCCTGCACCACCTGATGGCCTCCTTGTGCTGAGACCTCTAGAATGGTTNCATCCACAGGACCAAAAAGTATTAATCCCCCTCCCCCCGCTACCTAAGCTTCCTTTGTGACCCAGCCATGATTTTACTACTATGCTAGCATTTCTTTTGCACACAGAAACATCAGATGGGCCATCTGTTTGCTGAGTTCACCACTCCCGACTAGTGGCCCTTTCCAGCCTGATCCTGTGACTTGCAGAGAGGGGTCTCTGGGGGTGGCAGGCTGGGCCACTTCAGACCTTATCCTGCCTTGGTCTCCTCAGGGCTCCTTCAAAGAGCTGGTTTATGTGTTCTTCATGATGAAAGATGCCGGCCTCGCCCCAGACCTGCTGTCGTATGCGGCTGCCCTGCAGTGCATGGGGCGGCTGAACCAGGATGCCAGCACTATCCAAAGGTAGATGGATGTTGGGGTGGTCCTGCCAGGAACACAGCGACTTGTTGGGCCTGGAAGGGTGGCTTGGCCTGCTTTGGGAGCCAGGACTCCTGCACCACCTGATGGCCTCCTTGTGCTGAGACCTCTAGAATGGTTGGGGGTGGCTCGGTGAGTTGGGGGTTCACCACCCACCATGTATCCACTATAGGTGTCTAAAGCAGATGGCCCAGGATGGACTGCAGCTGCAGGAGCTCTTCACGAGCTTATCACTGTGCAAGGAGGACCAGGCTGCACTCCTGAAGGCTGTGCTCAAGGCTGAGCCCACCTTTATACCTCCGCAGCCACCCCTCCCCTCGTTTGAGGTCAACACCTCCCCACTGCTCAGGGAGATCTACGACACGGTGAGCCTCAGTCTGTAGGTGGGGTCCTATCACATGCCGGATGAGCAAGGGTAATCCTGTCCCTATGGGGGAACCAGGAGCCTCAGCCCTCCCTTTATTTCTCCTCACTGAGCCACCTGCATCTCTGGGACTCCCTCTCTGCTCCTCGAAGGTTGAACAACTCGAGTTGGCAAGCTCCTGGCCCCCAGTAGGGCCATCACCCTGAAGCTGGAAGGTCCCAGAAGGAGGAAAGGCCCACCATATGCACTCCGGGCACCACAGTGGTCACTGTCCCACTTGAGACTCAGCTGTAGGCTAAACACAGGAGTGGTAGCAGAGCTGGGTATAACTCCCCTGGGAGGAGTCAGTTTAAAGCATCAGGGGACAGCGGGTGGGGCAAGACCACAGCACTGCTTCCCAGGACAGAGGACAGCACTGAGGGTGGGTAGCCGCCCAGATGCCTTGGGGTTTTGTTTTTATTGGGATGTAATAAAAACCAACCATACAGCTAACCTTTTAAAGCATAATTCATTATTTTTTTAGTAGGTTTACTTCTAATTCCAGAACATTTGCTCACCCCAAAAATAAGTCCCAACCCCTGGCAACCACTAACCCACCTCCCATCTCTGTGGGTTTGCCTGTTCTGGACATTTCATATAAATGGAATCATACATTGTGTGGCATTTTGTGTCTGGCTTCTCTCACTGAGCATCATGTTTTCAAGGCTCATCCACGTTGTAGCGAGTGTCAATGCTATACTCCTTTTCATGGCTGAGTAATACAGGGTGGGGCAAAAGTAGGTTTACAGTTGTTTATATGGAAAACTATACTAATTAATAAATAATAACATAAGAATGAAATCTGTGTTTCGTGTACTCTCGCTTATAAACCTACTTTTGCCCCACCCTGTATTCTAGTATGTGGATGGACACATTGTGTTTATCCATTCATTAGCTGATGGTCGCTTGAGTTGTGTCCACTTTTTGGCTGTCCTGAGTCATGCTGCTGTGGTTGTGCATATGTAAGTGTTTGTGTGGACCTATGTTTTTGATTCTCAGCGTGTTGGATTTTGTTATTTTTAATTTATTTTGGGGTGGGTCACACATTCAGGCAGTTCCAAGTTTAAAAAGCAAAATGCGATTTCCAGGGACTAGAACTGCCTTCCTGGGCTGTCCAGCACCCAGCTCAGTGAGGCTGGGCAAATGCAGAGCTTTTTGTTTTTAAACTAGTGTAGCTATTTTTCATGCTGTTCTGCACCAGCCTTTTCCCTGTGATGTGTAGGATGGATGATTTTCAGGAGACTTGGAGAAATGGATGTGATTCTGCAAGGGTAGGAGTTCTGGGCAGCACAGGCTGGGCAACTGCTCTCCTCTACCTTGGGTGTGGAGGAATTGCCTATGAGAGACACAGGTCTGGAGAGCAGGCACCCGGAGCCTCACCACCTGCCTGTCCCCACCGGTAGGACCACCCTGTGTCCTATCCAAGGCAGCACCTGCCCTTGAAGAAACTGAAGGACCTGTTCCAGCAGCAGCTTAGTGTGGAGATGGCCACCACTGTCACTGTGGACTCAGTGGAGAAGGCCCCGTCACTGACCAAGGAGGTCCTGCTAGCGGTAAGGGGCCCAGGTGTGCTCAGGTTCCTGCTTGGCTGAACAAGGCATCCCCTGGTCTGGGCGTGCTGCCTGCTGTGCCACAGATTCTTCTCCCCACCCTGCAGCTATCCTGTCCTCCTTCCCTTTTACTGAGCTGGGGGCATCATGTACCCTCCCACTGATGGAGAAGAGTGCTCAGCAGCTACTTGGTTCACCTTGGCACGACCCTCTGGTGGACTCCTCCCTGGGGCCTGTGAGCACTGGGCCCATTGGTCACTGTGGTGATGCTGTGTCTGTCCCCCACCCCCACAGCGAAAGACCCTACAGGAGCTACGCACCTGTTGGGAGGCGGAGTTGTGCCTGGCCCTACGACAGACCAAGGCCAGAGAGGCCCATGCTGCCCGTGAGGGCCGCCCCTCGCTCTTCCCCTACCTGTGCCTGCTCAGTGAGGAGGAGCTTGCACAGCTGCTGCTGCAGGTGGGCAGTGGATGTGTGGGGTGGGGAGAGGCCCGTGTGTGTGCAGGGGTGGGAAATGGGGGATGGGTAGAGTGTTAGCACCTATGGGGCAAGGGGCTCATGGCACCACCCCCAGACCTTGCAGGTGCTGTCCCCACAGGGAGAGTCGCTCCTCTCCCTGGCACAACAGCTGGGCATGCGCATATTCAACCGACACGTGGTGCAGAGGAAGCAGCTCAGTGATGAGGTACAGGAACTGCAGCAGCGCTATTTCAAGTACCTACACATGCTGGCATCTGACACGCAGGTAAGGTTTGGAGGGGGCTGAAAGGAGCTGCTCCTGGGCCTGGGATCTTGGGGCTCTTTAGGGCTAGGGAGCCTAGGTGGGTTTCCAGGTGAGGAAACAAGCCCCTAGAGGAAGTCACATCCCTATTCCCCTCCCTCCCACCCTGGGGCAGTTGAATTTGCCCCCAGGCCCTGCCACTTCCCGGCTGCCCCCCAGCCTATTTCCTCATCTGTAATTTTCCACCTGTGGGGGTGGCTGAGAGTGTACAGCTCTGCGCCCAGACCCATGACCCATGATGCTACTCACAGGTGGTGGTGTCCCGCCTGCCACGGCAGCATTGGGAGGCACTGGGGGCACCTGAGGCCCCCCAAGAGCAGCCCTGGCCCTTGACTGTGGTGGTGCAGCTCGGCAAACAGCTGGCTGAAGTGCTGGTACAGACAGTGAAGATGCCTGGCCACCTGGCACAGCACCAGGGCTCCCGCAAGCTCATTCCTGTGCTCTACCATGTGTACTCCTTCCGGAGCTTCCGCCAGGTAAACTGATGTGAAACTGACTTCTGGACCTAGAGAACCCTCCCCTGTCTCCAGTGGCAGAAGACATTTAGAGTATGGGGGTCTGAGATGAGGCTAGGGGCTCAGGGTGGCTTGGGAACTTCTGGGCCATGGTGGGGTACTGTTGAAATCCTGCTGGGATCATGGCCTGATCTCAGGATAAGGGCTTTTGATGGGACCTTGGGACCCTTTGCCTGCTGCTTGCCTTTTGGGCAGTTGACTTCCTTGATCAGTGTTTACCCATCCCACTGCCAGATTGGGATCCTGAAGCCACACCCAGCCTTCATGCAGCTGCTGGAAACTGCGGCCGAGCGCACAATGACCTTTGAGGCAGCAGAAGTGCCCATGCTGTGCCCGCCACTGCCCTGGACTTCACCACACTCAGGTGCTTTCCTGCTGAGCCCCACTAAGCTAATGCGCTCTGTTGAGGGTACCACACAGCATCAGCGCCTTTTGGAGGGCTGCCCACCCACTGAGCTGCATGGCGCCCTGGACGCCCTCACCCAGCTGGGCAACTGCGCCTGGCGTGTCAATGGGCGTGTGTTGGACCTGGTGCTGACCCTCTTCAATGCCAAGGGCTGCCCCCGCCTGGGCGTTCCGGCCCCTGCCTCTGAGGCTCCCCGCCCACCTGAGTGCCACCTGCCAACCAGTGCCTCACCGGAACGCAAGGCTGAGCTGCGGAGGGAGCTGGCCCGCTGCCTGAAGGTGGCCCGGGAGATGCACAGTCTGCGGACCGATGCACTCTACCGCCTCTCATTGGCCCAGCACCTGCGGCACCGTGTCTTCTGGCTGCCTCACAACATGGACTTCCGAGGACGCACCTATCCCTGCCCGCCCCACTTCAACCACCTAGGCAGTGACCTGGCACGTGCCCTGCTAGAGTTTGCCCAGGGCCGACCCCTTGGTCCCCATGGCCTTGACTGGCTCAAGATCCACTTGGTCAATCTCACTGGGCTCAAGAAGCGTGAGTCGTTGCAGGCACGCCTGGCCTTTGCTGATGAGATGATGAACGATATCCTGGACTCGGCTGACCAACCCATGATGGTAAGAGTGGCCACGGCCCTTCTCCCTCTGTTTGTGTCTCCTGGCCTGCCCTCCACTCTTGCTCCAGCCACCTCAGCATCCACCTGGGAAGCCCTCTAGGCACCCCCACCTCCAGGCCAAAATCAGTAACTCCAGCCCCCTGAGTCTTCCCCTTAGGACAAATTTTTTTTCTGGCCTTTCCCTCTGCCCTAGCCCATCAGCAGCTCTTCCACCTCCCGCTCCATGGTACCCCTCTTTCTATCCCCATCCCGTGGCTGCTTACTCAGGGCTGGGTCCAGTCTCTCTTCCTGGCCCATCACTCCTGTCCTCACCCCGCTGTCCCAGGGACTCTGTCTCAGTCTCCTTGTGACCTCATCACCTGGGCCAGCCCAGCTCCCATCCATGCTCAGGAAGCCCCATCCCACTGACCCCAGCACAGCCTCACCAAACACACTATCCTTCTGCAGGGCAAGAAGTGGTGGATGGAGGCAGATGAGCCATGGCAAGCCCTGGCCTGCTGCATGGAGATTGCTCAGGCTGTGCGTGCCCCCAACCCCACCGCTTATATCTCCCATTTTCCCGTTCACCAGGTGAGTTGGTGGGGACCCTCTTGTGGAGATGGGCTATCCAAAGTTGTCTCAGGCCTGAGGTTCCACAGAACAGTGTGGGTGTCTAGCTAGTGTCTTTGTGTGCGGGCCAGCCCCAGTGGGTTCAGCTGGGCTTGTACTGTGGCCTCATGCAGGCACATTCCCTGCCTCATGTGCCTCAGTTTCCTCTTTGTGGCAAGGTAACAACACCTGCCCCTAAGCATTGGGGTCCAGCAAGCTGGTGATAGGAGCAGAGTGGTGGGGAAGCACAGAGCTGTGGTTCATTGCCAGGGACACTCTTGCTAGCCCTGCCCAGACCCCTCACCATCTCTTCCTCGGCCTAGGATGGCTCCTGTAATGGCTTACAACACTATGCTGCTCTGGGCCGGGACAGTGTGGGGGCTGCCTCCGTCAACCTAGTGCCCTCAGATGTGCCGCAGGATGTGTACAGCAGCGTAGCCGCACAGGTGGGCACCATGGCCCCCTAACCTGTTCTCATCCCCAAGGCCCACCTGGGGTCTCTGTCCTGTAAATACCTATGTGTTGCCAACACCATGGCCATGGCCTCTCCTGTCGTATATGATGTGACTGGGCAGTCAGGGTAGGCTTCCCAGGGGAGGCAGTCAGATGGGGGAACTGTGATGCCAATGCAGAAGGGGCCTCATGGGAGTGCTGCTGGGTAGGGTGGGTGAGCCCAGACAGGGACACAGGCAGAGGATCCTTGGGCCTGCCTACTGACTGCCAGCACCTGCCCAGGTGGAGGTGTTCCGCAGACAGGACGCTGAGCGGGGTGTGCAGGTGGCCCAAGTTTTGGAGGGCTTCATCAGCCGCAAAGTGGTCAAGCAGACGGTGATGACTGTGGTGTATGGGGTCACCCGCTATGGGGGCCGCCTGCAGATCGAGAAGCGCCTCCGGGAGCTCAGCAACTTCCCCCAGGTGTGCAGTTTCACCCCAAATCAGCTTCCCCTGAACAATCAGCTTCTGGGCAGCAGGCAGCTCTGAGGGAGGGGCTTGTTTCCCCCCACTGTGGGATGAAGGGGTATGGAGGGCAGGACCCATAGGAGCAAGCTATCTTCTTGGGCTTCTGGGCCTTGGTTTCTTTGCCTGAAAAATGGGGGTGTGGACTTCAGGAATCTGGGAGAGCCCTGTGAGATCCCCCTGGACCCCCTGGTCCTGGGCTGTGGGGGTGGGCATGGAGGCTGCCCCTCCCCTCCAAGCTTGCCCCACCATTTCTGTGTCCCACCTATCCCCAGGAGTTCGTGTGGCAGGCTTCTCACTACCTTGTGCGCCAGGTGTTCAATAGTCTTCAGGAGATGTTCTCAGGTACCCGGGCCATCCAGGTGCGTACTCCTCCCTTCCCCAGCGTGACTTCCCAGGCTGGGTCCCACCCTGAGCCTGTTCCCATTCCTGCAGCGCTGGCTGACCGAGAGCGCCCGTCTCATTGCTCGAACTGGCTTGGCAGTGGAGTGGGTCACACCCCTGGGCATCCCCATCATCCAGCCCTACCACCACGACTCCAAGGTGTCGGTACGTCCACCCCCACCCACCTCCATGCCCACCTCCACCTGCACCCCAGTGCCAGGGCAGGCTTCATGCCCCATTTCCTTCCCATCCCAACCCTACAGATCAATGGAGGGATCCAGAGCCTCTCCTTCAGCAACAGTGGGGACACCAGCCAGTGAGTGTGGAGGAGGGGGGTAGCTGGGTGAGGACTGAGGGGTTGCTGGACCAGGGGATGCCACCTAGGTCAGGCCATGGTAGAGGTACTGGGTTCTCTACCTGAGCATACCCCACCCCCACACACAGGAAGCCCAACACACTGAAGCAGAAGAATGGTTTCCCACCCAACTTCATCCACTCTCTGGACTCCTCACACATGATGCTTACAGCCCTGCACTGCTACAGGTAGGCCCTGCATCTGCACAGCACACATTCATTATGCATCTGTAGGCAGGCCCAGTGATGGGGACATGGTGAAGACCCTCATAGTGTGGGAGACAGGTTGTGAAGCCAATTCCTATAGGTGGGGGTTGAGGCAGAGACCTACAGCAGGCAGGGAACCTAGGCATGTGAGTCTTGGACCTGGTGCCGAGATCACTGTGCAAGCACATGTAATGGCCCTGGGACAGCAAGGTCTGAGTGATAGGGAAATGCTGGGCCACAGAGAGAAGGGGTGGTTCGTCTGAGTGTAAAGCTGGCCCTGGAGGGTCCCTGTGACCCTATCCATTCAGGTGTGTGCAGGCACACACTGCATGGCCAGTTCTAGGAGGCTGGATGTTGTCCTGTCAGATGCATGCGCCTTGTAGCAGCTGGCAGAACCTTTTGGTTTTCTGTCCTGAGCCCCTGAGTTTTCTGCAGTGAGCCTTGGATGATGGGGCAGGTGTATAGACAGTTCTGTTAGAAATGACTGTTAACGCCCTGGCTGGCATGGCTCAGTTGGTTGGAGCATCCTGTGTACATACCTGGGTTGCAGGTTTGATCCTTGTCAGGGCAACAGATCAGTGTTTCTCTCTCTCTCTCAAATCAATTTTTTTTAAAAAAAGAAATGACCATTAACATGGGGGGTTGGCAGGGCTGAGCTGAGGGGTCAGGGGAGAATTCTGTGCTCCCATCTGCGCCTTGTGCATTGCATGGGGACCCTTGGGATGAAGCCTTGTGGTGGGTGGTGGAGGTGGTGAGGATATTTTTTCCGTTGATTTTTAGAGAGAGTGTAAGGGAGGGGGGAGGGAAGAGAAGAGAAACATCAATGTGAGACACATCAATTAGTTGCCTCCCGAAGACACCCAGGGATCAAACCTGCAACCTAGGTACGTGCCCTTGACTGGGAATTGAACCTGACCCTTAGGTGTGCGGGCCAACACTCCAACCACTGAGTCATGCTGGCCAGGGCTAAAATGTGAACTTTTTATCTGCACATTGAGGGGACAGTTGCTAAGTGTGCAGGAATGGCGGGACATGAAGAGGGAGGACGGTGGTGTACATCTCTGGGCTCTGAGCCACCCAGTCTAGTGGTCAGGAGCTGGGCCCTGAGTGGACCGAGAAGGCTGGCCCCTCCTCATGGGAGCCCCTCCTCTGCTGCAGGAAGGGCCTGACCTTTGTCTCCGTGCATGACTGTTTTTGGACCCATGCAGCTGATGTCGCCATCATGAATCAGGTGCCCGCCATGCCCCACCCACCTAAGAGTGGACACCCCTGGTCCCATGTGGGACCTGGAACCCCCCAGCCTCAGTCTGGCTTTTGGTCCCAGTACCCATCCAGGTGTCGGGGCGGGGGGTGGTAACCCCATCCCTCAGGCCCTCGCTTCCAGCTCCTAACTTGTGCTCCCCCCTCCTCAAGGTGTGCCGTGAGCAGTTCGTCCGCCTGCACAGCCAGCCCATCCTACATGACCTGTCCAGGTTTCTGGTAGAGCGGTTCTGCTCTGGCCCCAGGTGAGACACCCCACCCTCAGGGTAGTTTCCACCACTCTCCCCATCCTTCCTGGGCCTCACTCCCCACCCTGCTCTCCACATCAGGTCCATGAATGCCCGAGTCACCAGGTTGCAGGACATGCTACTTTCCGTACCCAAGACAGGTAGGGCCTGTGAGCAGGGAGGGGTGTCCTAACTGCTAGCGGGGGCTGGGCCTTTCCGGGCCGCCCATCCCAGGACCAGCGTTCATGGTTTTGCTGCTCTGTTCCACAGGGACCTTCGACCTGGAGCAGGTAAAGCACTCAACGTACTTCTTCAGCTGATGCAGGCCCACTGGGCTGTCCCCCAGGCCCTCTGTACCATAGTGTAAATAAAGTTCTGTTGCTACCCAGGGGAGCTCTGCCTTCTGCAGGGAGAGGGTGTGTACCACCCTGCCACCAGTGGGCTCCCAGCAAGCAGATGCCGGCAGGCTGGGCGCCAATGCTGTCGTTTATTGCGCGGAATGGGGGTGTGGAGGTTAGTGGGACGTGGGGGGCGTGGTGGGAGCATTGCTGCCTCGGCTAGTCAGTACATTCATCACGAAGGCGGGGAATCCCCAGCCTTGCCCCCACACCCAGGCGCAGCCAGGACTGCCGGCCCCCGGGCGCCGGGTGCGGGGGCTGCTGCGTGTGCCCGCTCCAGGGAGGTCACCGCGGGGCGCGCACGGACGGGGGCGGGGCCGGTTATTGCATGAGTGCGATGGGGGCAGCAGGGAAGCCGGCAGGCCAAGTATTGCACTTAAACAGAATCTTCATCGGACAGCGGGCCAGCTACGAGGGTGGGGATGGGCGGAAGTCCACAGCTATCTCCTTTCGGCCACAGGGTGGCTCCCTCCCTGTTTCACAGTTGGGGAAACTGAGGCACCAAGGTGAAGGGAGCCCCCTTGCATGCTTGCAAGGCCACCGCCCAGGGCGGGGGCAATGTGGGTGGGCGCAGGGTGATGAGGGGGGACGGCAGGGGCCCGTCCGTCCGACTACAACTACCTACGTCTCCTCTATGGCTTCTAGGGTGGGCAGCCGGGGCAGTGCGCAATGGCATGGCTTTGGTTTGGATGAAGGCCCCGCCCCTGGCCCACCCGGGCCCGGGGGCGGTGCAGCGAGGGTCACAAGTTGGACGAGAGGCGCGAGCGCGCCGAGTCCAGCGGGTCGAGGCCTCCTGTGGCACTGGGCAAGGCCGAGTCCCTGCGGTCCGGGCTGGGCCCAGTGGCC